CAGGAGCAGCCCGCATGGTACACCGCCCACCGAAGTAGGCCACCTCCCTGCGTGTCTCCTGGTGTCGCGCCCGGCTGGATTACAGGACGCTAATGAGCCCATCACGACAAAGAGAACACGTCTCGGTGGGAAGATAATAAATCTTACCTACACCACATAGTAATGACTTAAGAATTCAAAATCAATGGATGGAGTTCATTAAAGTTCTTGTCAAATTATCCGTATTATTCTCCGCCCACTCCCACATCAGCACCTTCTCGTTCATCTCAGTGTCGTTGATACAATGATCACCGCGGCGTCTGACGGCGGCTAATGAAGCATCTCGACCGCGGCGCTAGAACATATCTCACGCGAGCCCGGCACATTCCGAACGAACAGCCAAATTATTTATATTATATCGTAATTTATTTTTATTTTCCATTGGCATGTCTCTTCAGTTTATTTAGATTATTATAGATTTGAACACTTACTAATTATAAAATATATTTTTTGCTTTCACGATCAAGTTCATGAATTATTTTTACATAAACGTTCCATAACAAATGAATTATGTAATAAAGAGGCAGTAGAAAAAATATAAAAATAATATTCGTTTTCTATCGTATAGTTCTCTCTACTAGCTCTGCACGCATGGAAAAATGGTATAGGAATAGCCAATAGCGTATTTTTATATTAGTGAATGAATAGGTATTTGTAATCCACGAAGTAACTATACATAAATTATGTAATAAACCAACAAGTTAGCACATTTTAAACGTCTAAAATAGTATATAATAAAATCCGTACTAATATTATACGTGTAAAAATGTGTTTGTTTGTTTGTCCTTCTTTCACGTCGAAACCGAGTGACGAATTTACGTGATTTTTTGTGTGGAGATAGTTGAAGGGCTGGTGAGTGACATTGGCTTTTACTGAGGGAGATTATCTCATACTGGCGGAAAAACACATTATAATACAATTCAAAAAAAATATGATCAGAATTAATTGAAACTTGGTAATAATGCTCTTCAATAAAATTAAATGAATACGTGTTTTAGCATTTTTCGAAAGGGGGTAAAATAGGGGATGAAAGTTTGTATGAAACTACCTTTTAAATTAGAGATTTTTTCGCAGTTTTAGCGCGAGCGAAGCCGCGGGTTCTGCTAATATTTTTATTAATTATAAATTAAATATTTTTCGGTACAAGTAAAACACATAAGTATCATCTATGTAAATACATATTATATTAAGCCTGTCATTAAAGGAATGGAAATTAAAAGAAAATGTAATCATTCATTCATAGTTTACAAATACTTAAAATGTTTAAATTTTTGATCTCATTCATGGCGGTAATCAAAAGCATTAAATCATACATACTGTTATTTATATCATTATAATAAACTATCAACAACACCAAGAGATATTTTCTCTCAATACGTTATCTGTGATTTATTACTTGCTCCAATAAGAATTCGTAGTAAGAAATAATTAATTAATAATAAAAACAAATAAAAAATGCACTCATTCACAAATATGTGTCATGCTCATGTGATAACAGAGTAAGAAGTGTACGTACAGATAAGAGAAATATAACTTATAATGGAGTTATTGTTATATAACCCTTCACAAAGCTATCTCTCATTGATCGGCTTTTTAATAGAGCTTTTATAATACGTTCTATGGATACCTTATACTTCCTTCGGTAAGGTAGATTTTATCTGTATGAAAATAGTTTATTTATATTTATGGTTTATATATTGTATATAATATGTACTAGTGCCAAAAAAAACTTTATGTTAGTAAATCGATTTCAGACATGACTTGAGACTCATATTTAATCCCTCAACGACCGCGGGCACGACGGCGTTACAGTTAACAATAGATTTCTTAGAAATTTAATTAATTTCTTAGAAATTTACCTGGAGGTGTTAAAAGGAAATTTTCAACGTTTGAGGATACATATATTTTCTTATATAATTCATTAATTAAAACCAGAGTCATAAAATTCGGTTCACTGATGTCGAAAATATCGCAAAATATAAACCCTTAACCAAGCCCGAATTAAACAACTCTTCTTAAAGTCGACCACGAATTACATAAAGAATGCTAAGTTGTTATTTTTTTAATATGACGTAACCAATAATTTTTATAAGCCTTCGCAAAACCGACGAACTCTTATTCAATTATGCGAACTAAAGGATGGTATTAAAATACATAGATTTTCATTTACTCGCATACTGCTCTAGAATATCATATTAAGCTGCTATTAAGTTGCTTGTTCAGACTCATTAACGAGCGCCTCGACTAAATTTCTAAAAACGGGTTTGATCCTTTTGCTAACCTAACCGCATATACAAATAAGATTTATTTGAACCTCGACCCTAAAAGGGTGAAATGGTGTGAATTAATGTTATACGGGTGGTAATTTAAAAAAGGGCAGCCCAGCAAATTTCATGTTGCTTGAAGACAGTAAAATATCTGCTCATCTCAGTTGAAGTACCAATAAAAAACACTAATTATGATAATCTAGTCCGACCATTAAAGCTCTGAAGATCAACTCCTCGTCTCATCCTCATATGAATGACGTTAAAAGCTTTCAAAAGCTTCACATTAAGCCCTCAAGACAAACGGCCGGCGCCGACAGCCCGTGTTATATACGACATTGAAAAGAATGTCAAGGAGTGCCGGATTTGGTTCCCGGTTCGTGTAAATATAGAATATCCATGAAACAGGTTGTTTACAAGAGCTCCCTTAAATAGATGACTGATTTTCGTAATGATGTTTGAAATTTCATATGACATTCATTTTATGATCGCTTAATAATATATATTTTTTTCTTAGCAAAACTTTGGCTCTTTTAGGTCAGTTTTAATATTCTATAGTTGTAGATAGTTATAAATTCTGAATTTTGTTTTAATAAAGTCGAATGTCAACTATTGTTTTTATTTATGATACTAATGTTGAATATTTATAATATAATAATATTTTATATTTATTATTATTTATTATTTTGAATATTTATAATATAAGAATATATATAATATTTTATATTTGCATAAAAACCAACTAAAAAGATGAGAACAAGTCGATAAAGGAATATTGTGTAAGCTACTATACATGTATATATTATGTGTTCGGGTAAAGTTGAAACCCTAAGATGAAATAATTTGACATTTAAATGCAATTAGAAATTTGTGATGTCAAATGATTGAAGCCTTGGAAATAGATAAAAAAAATATCGGTTAAACAATAGCTAGAGTGTTGGATGGACTGAAATACTTAAACATTCGCCCGAGTTGCTCCAGCAGAGCAGGTACAATAAAATACGACACGTTTGGCTCAGTTTGTAGTGACCCTACTTGCTATGCCAGCGGTCGCGGTTTCGAATCCCGCTGGGGGCATTCATTTGTGTGATGACCACGAATGTTTGTACTCCAGTCATGGGTCATTAATACTAATGTGATAGCCTGTTAAAGCAGCAAGTTGTTACTACCTAGAATTAAAAGTGCAATTATCATGATAAATTATATATGTAACCTAAGTTTAAGTATTATAATATTGTAAATTTTGTAGGTAGTTCAATAAATAAATAAACAAACAAACAAACATACAAACAAACAAACAAACAAACAAACAAACAAACAAACAAACAAACAATCAAACAAACAAACGAACGAACAAACAAACAAACAAACAAACAAATAAATAAATGAGTATTTATATTTATAACATGTATGTATTTAAAATTATATATGCGTAGTGTATCAACTATCTGGTATCCATAGCACAAGCCTCGTAGCTTACCATGGAACTAAATGATGCTGTGTGTTAATGTCCCAATACATTTATTTATTAAACACTTAAAGTATATACTTATACAAAAGATTTACTACAAGTACACTTTTATTTATCACCGATATCTAAAATATTAAAGGCAGAATTTTTTATATCAAAGGCAGTGGTATCGCGCTTGCTTTAGAAATCACACGACTGATATTTTCATGTGCGAATTATTTTCAACATAATTATATATCACGTCATACGGTGAAGGAGATCATTGTGAGGAAACCTACATGTCTGAACTTAGCAAGTTTTCGAAAGACATATAAAGTCCCCCAACGCGCACTTGTTCGGTGTGGTGGGTTACAACCTGATTCCCCTCGTATTGGAGAGAGGCTCACTCCCAGCACTGGGTCCTTAAAAAGGGCTGAATACATACATACATTTAAAATATCACCGTTGTTAATATATTAGTTATAAAATATAAAATGATTCATAACCAAATGTAGGAAGAAAAATAAACAGGAAGCTCGAAGACGGGTACGTATCGGTTTTTGGTTTAAGGTAATGTAAATCAAAGTTTCGATCACCACGTGTATAAGGAAGAACTGTATATTTAGATGAGGTGTGAACTGCCTCGTTCCGAGTGCACGGCTACGAAAGCGAGTCAGAGCTAATTATCGGACGAATTAAAATATTACTGACAATTATTATATATGTATTAATATATATCGCAAAAGAATTATTTGTAGCAATTTCACTTTTTTTGCTGCGAAGAACTGGTTTTAGTAATTGGTATTGCAGAAATAATTAATACTTATTTTTTTAATTAATCTTCTTAGATAAATATTCTAAAACCAATATAGATAGTAGAATGTTGACAAATAATCCAACCATACCAACCACGTGATATAACGCTTAAATGTGTCCTTTTTATAAGTTACTTGCGTTTTACTGCTTATTACTATATTTGTGTTACTCTGATGTATAAGCTATATTACTCTAAAGTTTCATCAAAATCCATTCAGTAGTTTTAGCGTAAAAGAGTTAGAAACATACATCCATACATCCCTACAAACTTTCGTGTTATAATATTAGTAGAATATAATGTGATTAAAGCATATCTTTTTAATCTTTTTTTATGTAAGCGACAATAGTTGCACGCCCTAATAATATAAGTCAGAATATGCAATAAGAATATAATTAAATTATCAATTAACTTAGCCCGACTGAGGTGCACAATGGAAACAAGCAAGATCGCATCACATGTAAGATGCGAGGGCCATTGCCCCGCGCTGCGGGTCGCGCTATCGACGGCGCCGCGCCCTTTAACACCACATCCGTCGAGCTGGCTATCTGCAACCAGTCGCCTACGTGGGTATCATAGCATTACACTACACGTCTGTTCTTACCTTACTTGGTAGTCCTTAAATAGCTTACTGAAATTTATTACTAAATGTTTTTGATTCTCATTCATTTGGTATAGTATTTTTAACCGAGTTCCAAAAAGGAGGAGGTCCTCAATTCGTCGGAATCTTTTTTTTATGTACGAGTATGTTCAACGATTACTCGAAGACAACTGAACCGATTTGGATTTTTTTATAGCCTACAATATTTTAAGATATGAATATCCAATAGGTACCTAAATGTGTATTTTACGTATCGAAATAGATTTGCTTTGCATCGGCTGGCACCGACTACGAAAATATCTGATTAGGTATCTATTCTAAATAAAAGCCTCCGTTTGGTTATTTTTTACATTTTAGTGCCTGGAAGTCGTTTTTTTTTTAAGTTTTTTTATTTCCTACTAAGTCTCTTGCAATTCAAATTAGATGGCTAAGAAAATCGGATTCAAACGGAGGTATACAGTTTTGGTCTGCTCATACCACAATATTTGTTGCGCGGCGCATTGAAACGTAATCTATATTTAGATAATCGACATCATATTTTAACTCAAACACTTTATTGAACTCTCTAAGCAAAGCAAAAAGGTGAAACAGAGCAAGGATTTTCAAATCTACGACATAATTCTTAGCATTTGGTTTCTAATAAGTGCACGTATAGTTCTAGATTTCCGTGAGAACAGCAGTCGCCACACTAATCGCGCGCGTCGAGGTGACATCAGTATGCGCCGGCGCAGCTCTCAACACTTGTACGAGATAAGACAAGGATCTTTCAAGTAGAATTCTCGAGCCAATTGTTTTTGTTATACTGCATAAGAAAACAAGCTTTTAGGTGATGTGTGATGTATTTATATTATAAGTATAGGATAATATGACATTAGGTCCAGGTGTAAGTTTTACTTTATATAAAGCGCTCATGTATCTTCCCTTATATGGTCGACCACCTATTTAGCATTAGCTTTAATTATAAGTGTGGATACTCAATATATTATGATTATTAAAAATATCTTTAAAACATTCAAAACTTAATATTTTGATAGGTATTGAGTTTAATCATTTCTTAGATCAAACAACATGAAATTATCTTGATAATAAAGATTAGACATTGAAAATTGTATTTATTTGTATTGACAAATCCATTAAAGCTATTTAAAATGTTTCACCTTTTCCATAATTGATATTCTCTACCTTTCATACCTGTCATTATTATGAATATCCCGTCAATCACAAACTAGTTTTATACTTTAAGTTATTCAGCGCCGAGAGGGACTATATAAATAATCTATACATATAATAAAATTGTAACTAATTCGAATCTGTACATTAAATATTTTTTGGAAAATCTAATATTTAATCTAAATCTAAATCTATAGTTTTTAGAATTTTTGTCTGTCTGTCTGTCTGTTATCGCATCACGAGAAAACCACTAGACAGATTTTGATGAAATTTGGTATCATGATAGCTGGTTATTCGGGTCAACATATAGGATACTTTTTACCGCGGGAAAATATGTCATTTTTGAGAAAAATACAAAAACTGCATTATAAGAGTATACTAATATGTAAAACCTAAGAATTTAGTTTTTGGTCATCTGAACGCGGGTGGAGCCGCGGGCAATGGTAGTATGATCTATAAATAAAAACTTATTAAAACTCAACATTTGCAAAGAATTATTAGCCGTCAGCTCGTGAGGGAAATGAATAAGTGTAGCCTATCACGTCAAGTCGACATCAGTATGCGCGCGCGCATCAGATCCGCATGCACTGAAGCTTTATGTTGAAACAACGTGTGACAGATCTTACGTGTTACGACTTATATCCAGACAGTATAAAGATCTTTCTTGTCTTGATATTTAGTCTTTGTCCTTTGTAAAAACTTCTAAATAAGTACAAGGATAAATATTTCTTTACAATCTTCCAGCCTACGGAATGAAATATAATGGTTTGAGAATTTTAGCGGTAGTAAGTCTCTCCCGTGACCATGATTGCTGTAAAGTTTAAAGTGTTCCAAGAGTCGGGAACCAAAAATCAAAATAAATTCACAAAAAACATCCAAAAAGATAGTTTTATTTTAATTTAATAAAATATTATGTTATCTCCAACCTGCGAATAAATGAAATAGCGATTCAGCGGGGAATGCAGCCAGCATTCATGACACAATTCCACGCAGACATGACTTGTACTGTCATAACTAAGCGTGCATTTATTTTGTACTAGCAGAATTCGCGGCTTCGCTCGCGGTAAAACTACAAAAAAAGCTCCAAAAAGGTAGATTTCATACGATTTTCATCTTCTATTTTACCCCCTTATGGGATGAACTTCAAAAGATGCTAAAACACGTATTTATTTAATATTTTTTGAGTTATATTATAACGTGTTTTCCTATGGGAATGAGATAATCTCCCGTAGTAAAAGGTAGCCTATGTTACTCTCCAACCCTCCAACTATCTCCACACAAAAAATCACGCCAATCAGTTACTCCGTTTTAACGTGAAAGGAGGCTAAACAAACAAACAAACAAACAAACACACTTTCACATTTATAATATTCGTATGGATTGTATATTAAAGTATATATTTTGTTCCAGTTTTGTTTATCTTGTATCTAAAATGAACACATAATATTGAGATGGTACGAAGAAAAAGCAGTAGTCAAGACCGCACCCTACTTTCATTTCATTTGCCATTTTTCAACTTAGCTCAGTAGCTAAGTTGAAAAATGGCAAAGTGGAAAATCGAACCAATTACTTACTAGTTGTAGTATAGTGTAATAAGTATTAAGATTTTTTCTTTTCTTTATCAACATTGAGATTAAAATATACAAGTAAACTCACAGTCCGTCACAAACCTCGCATTAACATCCGCTGCACGAGATCAATCTCTATACAAAGTAACTAAATAAAGAGCGTTTAATTCACATTTGAATAAGAAACGCTTCCTGTTTGTCTGTAACGTTGCAAACTTTGTGCCCATTCAGATGCTCTCCGCGTCGCGGTGCACGTCAGAGAAGTGTTTTAAATAACTAAATATAACGTAAATGCTAGTGATTATCTTAAACTAGTGATCCTGCCCGGCGTTGCTTGGGTCTCATCTATATTTACAGTCTGAAGCTAAACTTTGTTTTTTGTTCGTTAGATTGCGCTTATCTCTGGAACTACCAGTCCGATTTGTTGCTAGTTATTAAAGAAAATATACGTCATCTAAATCATCCTATGATAGGTCAGATCTAGGCTAGTCTGAATGATATCACACTGCGACATATAGGAGCGGTGCAATTATAAAATATACTAAAAAAAACACGATCAGAGCTGCGTGCAAAAGCTATTTTGCTGATTTTAATCATATATAAATGTGATGATTTCTAAGATCTTTTGATAATTTAAGTAAATATTTACTATTATCAAACTACGTGTTTTGAAATTTTATTATTTTATTCTTAGTAATAACGAGTATTTTAAAAAATGTTTACCTGATTTATCTCAAAAAGTAACACAGTGATTTTAAGGTTTATTTAGAGCCGTAAAAATACCTTCATATAATTTCTTTTAGACATTAATAGGACAAGAGTAATAAGCGTGGATCAAAAATCGAACTCGCAACTATCTATTACCACTGAACTGCTACAAGTAACTTCCTGTTTACTTTTGCAATAATATATAATAATATGGGCTATTTGCACGCTTGTCTCGTCGAGAGTCATCGTAAGAAAGCTATTACATGCGCCATATTGTAAATATTTATAAACTGATTATAATAATTATATGCTTATTGATTCTTCGTTTTAAACCTTTTTATAGAACACTTTGCGTGTTTATGTTCCTGTAACAGTTACCTTATATGGTATCTAACAAGTGTTTACTCGTCTGCTTATATTAGAATTGATTATACAATCATTTTATTACGAGTACATAATAAATATACATATTATCTTAGGATTTTGTGTTTTCTAAAAGCTCAGCCTTTCTTTTCTTAAGTTAAAAACACACTACTACTAGGTTCTATTCATGGCTTAATGCATAGATCTTCGATGACCGACCAAGTACCATGTACAGCTACAGATTTGATGGTGCTGGTTTCGGAGGGAATTTTATCGTAATAAGTACATAAATATATGAATGATTAAAAAAGTATATAAATACAATATTATAAATATATATATATATATATATATATATATATATATATATATACATATATATATTATATCTATATATTATAGGACATTATGTGCGTAAAGAATTTTAAAAGTTACCATTTCAGCTTTACCATACTCTACGGTTATTATAAGAAGCGAGAGCTGCCATTATTATGTAGCAACTACACAATATTTTCGCTAAAAGCTAAAAGCTTTGCCTAAAAGTCAGATACAACAATAGTAAGATCTCAAAGTTCCTTTTGGAACAGAATTCCAATTTCAGCAAATATTTTAGAGGATGAAATCAAATTATATAAAAGGTAAAGAGTTAATTTGAACTAAACATATAACTGCACTCACAGTCTAGTTCTAAAAGTGTAGTGACCCAGTAGTAGGCGCTTGCCGAAATAAACACGATCGATGCCCCAGACGAAATCCGTCAACAACTTCTAGCTTATATATTTGCTGCCAGCGACAGCACTGTCTGATTCTAACGACAAATGGTCTTTCTGTTAAACTTTTGTAATAGTTGTTGTTGAAGAGATTATCTTTGGTTAAAGTATTTAATAGTATAACTAAGATAATTTTCCATTTTAATTCAAAATAGCGAATCATCCTACGTACGGTACGTTTTAACAGTTAGTATGAAATACATTTTTTTGAATTTCTCGGCTTTTCTGTGCATGTACTTACTACGAGTGTATGCACATATACTTTCCTCTTGAATCACTCTATAAATGGCTGAAAACTGCGTTAAAATCCGATAAACTATAAACAAAACAGTAAGAAGTTGGGGTTCTATAGTCAAAAATCTTAGAAGAAAATAATAAAACAGAAGGAGCGCGCAATAACTGAAGCCCGAAACGATATTTTAATTTTTACTAGCATTGCCGGCGGCTCCGCCCGCGTTCAGATGACCAAAAACCAAATTCTTAGGTTTTACATATTAGTATACTTTTACATTGCAGTTTTTGTATTTTTTCTCAGAAATTAGATATTTTGTCGACGTAAAAATAATCCTATATGTTGACCTGAATAACCACTATCACCATACCAAATTTCATCTTAATCCCACCAGTGCTTTTTCTGTGATGTATTAACAGACATACAGACAGACAAAAATTCTTAAAACTATAGATTCAGCCTCTGTATCGATAATAATATTTATTTCAATAAGATTTTCCAAAAAATATCTAATGTACAGATTCGGCTTAGTTACAATTTTATGATATGTATAAATAGATAGATTAGGGTCTCTACCCGAAGGGCGCCAACAGAACCCTATTACTAAACCTCCGCCATCCGTCCGCCCGTCTGTCAGAGAGTTGTATCTCATGAACCATAATAGGTAGAGGGTTGAACTTTTTACAGAGCCTGTATTTCTATTGCCGTTATAACAACAAATAGTAAAAAACCAAAAGGCTCCCATGCAAATAAAAAAAAGCGAATTTGGTACGGAACCCTTCTTGTGCGAGTCCGACTCGCATTTGACCGATGTTTAGTTAATAATATCATAGCCCCGTCGTGCTGAGGCCGGAGTTTAGGCCGCGTATTAGAAGCAAAATAAACAAAATAATTCTTAGTCATTAAAAATTAACGCTCCACATATTTTATTATCCACGTATAAGTGAAATCATACGAATC